CTCTCTCCTTTTAGCTGGTATATAGGAATCAGTTAACAGTATTTTAGGTAATTAGTGATGTTCATATTAAACCATTTCTTTTTAAAGCTTCTCCATCTTCCGAGGAGTAGAAATACAGATACATAGAAAGTGTTTTAGATAAAGTCATTTTGTTTAAAAATCTAGCTAGTTCTTTCCCCTTTAAAACAATGAATTCATTTTCCTGATTATGACCTGACTAAAGAAAAGTTAATGAGAAACAAAGTTGTTCTAGCAGTGTGGCTTTTTGGAGATCTAATGATGATCATTAGACTCTATTAACTAAAGACATTTTTTAAAGGACTTTTTTTTCCATTAATTATTTTTTTTTCTTCTCATGCTTCTCAGAAGCAGGATATATATATTTAAAACCATGCAGTTTTAGGGGAGATTTTATACAAAGCGTGCACTTTGATCTTAACAGAAACTAGGCCTTTGCAAATATATTCCAGAATAAACGCAGAAGGGATTTATGCTTGGATTTTTTAAAATCTCCAACAGGACACAATCAACAAATTAGAAAACGAACTGAGAACCACCAAGAGCGAAATGGCCCGCTACCTAAAAGAATACCAAGACCTCCTCAACGTGAAGATGGCTTTGGATATTGAGATTGCAGCTTACAGGTAAAATCAGGGGGGGTAAAGGTGGCCACCATTAAGCCTTGGAAGAAAATCAGATTACAATTAAAATTATGTCTAATCAGGAACCTTCAAGAATACTCCTTTGAAATAATTATATTTTGGGGCTTCTTCCAAAAACATTTTCAGACAAATACATAAGAATTTAACCCTGTAATAATAAGTCCTGTTCTTAGCTTTTTGACATGTTTTAAATTTAATAGGACTATTCCGGGCTTTTTTGCTTTGTTTTGTCTCAGTCACTGAATCCCTAGTCAATAAGTCTTGTTGATGGTCAGCCCTGCTGCTTGCATTTGTCTTTGAGGGTGGCCTTTGGGGGAAATGACGTGTGATGGATTTGGAGCAAGTCCTCCAAAACATTATCGATTGTTTTTGGGGTGTTTTTTTTTTTTACCCCACCCTTTATCTGCCTCCGCAGGAAACTCTTGGAAGGCGAGGAGACCCGGCTCAGTTTCACCAGCGTGGGCAGCTTAACCAGCGGCTACTCCCAGAGCTCCCAGGTCTTTGGCCGATCTGCCTACGGAGGTCTGCAGACCAGCTCCTACTTGATGTCCGCCCGCTCCTTCCCCTCTTACTACACCAGCCACGTCCAGGAGGAGCAGATCGAGGTGGAGGAGACCATCGAGGCTGCCAAGGCCGAGGAAGCCAAGGACGAGCCGCCCTCTGAAGGGGAAGCTGAAGAGGAGGAGAAGGAAAAGGAAGAGGGTGAGGAAGAGGAGGGAGCCGAAGAGGAAGAAGGTACGATAGAGACAAACCCCTGCAACTTTAGGTGCAAAGTGGGTGTGGGTATTTGTTAGGCCCTGCGCAAGCTCTATGTCCCGTGTAGGAAAGTTTTCCATTTGTAGGTGATTTTGAAATCTGAACCAAAATGAATGCCAGACACCTCATGATACTGAGCTTAGGCTTAGATTACTTCCACTACCTGGAAGTAATCCATTTAAATATGTGCTCCCTGGCAAATGGCTTGTGGCAAGCCTTCTGAGAATGGTCCATTGGGAAAGTGGAACCGAGAGGTTTGGGGTACGCATTCTGAGAATAATGCAGAATAACTGCCAAAACCTATCTTTGCAGAAATGTTGGACTGGACTTAACCTGGCTTTGGATTTTGTAAATTTTCTTTTTGTGTTAAAGCTGCCAAGGAAGAATCTGAAGAAGCTAAAGAGGAAGAAGAAGGAGGAGGTGAAGGTGAAGAAGGAGAAGAAACCAAAGAAGCTGAAGAGGAGGAGAAGAAAGAAGAAGGTGCTGGGGAGGAGCAAGCAACCAAGA